AAGCGGCATTTTGTTGATTGTTAGTGATTCCGGGCGCGTCAACTGTTAAGGTCATTTGTTTCTGAAGTGTATTACATGTTTTTTCCTCGGGAGGTGGCGATGGTCTTCTCCCGCTGGATGGCAAGATCCGGCGCCGACCTACCGTCAGCTAGCGGGGTTTCCCACAACCAGCTATCTTCCATCAGCCGGGACAAACTCTAAGGTCCCGACCGGTCTCCCGGCATGTGGGTAGGGTGGTGGTTAGTGAGTAGTGTACTGCTCCGGCATTCGCCTGGAGACGATCGGAGAAACCACGGAAAACTACTGATCAGAGCAGGCGGCCGGTAAGTTCTCCTCCAGACAGTGGCTGAATTCAACCTAGCTGACATGCTAGTGTTGAAAATCCTGCTACCGTAGGGACGCGAACCTAGGTCATTGCGGTTAGAACTATAGTGACATCAGCTGATGCCCTGAACCACCTCTCCCGGTCCGAGTCATTTTGTGTTTCAAGAGATGGAAAAAACGGAATAAAAGCACGAAACTCAGCGTAAACCACCGGGGGGAAGAGGGCTATATGCCTGGGTCCCTTTTCCATTGATTTTTTTAAAAAAGTTTTTTATATTAATTTTTTATTTACTTATGACATATTTTACTGGTACCTTGATGAATTAAATATATTACTGGGAAAATGAAATTATACCATGAGTGACAAAATTCATAAAGATAAATGATTTACACAATTTCCAGATGCCTTGGGGAGCCTCTCCGCCAAATGTAATATAACATTTATCCCAATTGTTAGGTTAACATTAGGTGAACATCAGCAGTTGAACATATTTAAGGAAATAAAATATTTTATTACATAGGGCTACGGAGCCCCTTTCTACATTTGTAGTAGTTTGTAGCTCCCTCAGGAACCCCTGTGCACATGCCTATGAATGTAATCCATGAATGCCAAAGCCATTCTAAAGAATACCTATACCACAAAATAATATCAATTACCAGTCTTAATTTCATAAGGTAAGACACATATATCTTGGTGTTGATATAATACATTAGCTTAGGTAGCATCTCCACATTCTAGTGATCAGCGCATTCTCATTCTTTTTTGTATTCTGGGATTCAAATTCTAACAGTTTCATATAGTTTGGTCTCTTTCTAAGAGACATCCTGTTTCTTTCTCCACCATTTTTCTATACATCTTATTCCAAATATTCATCACAGTAATTTCTGGCATGTGAAGACATTGTCTTGGAAATATCAGGCAATTGCATGATCAGTGCACAGTTTATGGGTATCTGTGGGAGAGAGTATTTTAAAATAACTAATTCAAAGGGGGGAAACAAAAATGTGCTATTGAAAATAATACCATTACCTCTAGTTTTCTGCAAGATATGATGAAGTGAAAGTAATATGTTCTTTCAAAAAGTTATCTAAGTTCTCTACCATTTTTAAGAAATTATAAAATTTCTATTAGTTATTATAAACAGTTTATAAATGAAAGAGGCAACCTTTTACAGAATTACTACCCAATAAGAAGCTAGAAAATTGTTTTTACCAAGATATTTCAGGAAACTAACAATAATAAATTCTGTATCCAAATGAACCCTTTGTCTACTTTCATTAAATTTTAAATGTCTTTTAAAGCTACCTTACATTGATTGTCTGTGACTTTCTCTAAGTGGGCATTTGTCAAATAAAAGTTAAATTATTCATTAAATTTTGTCAACAGAAGTCTGTCTTGTAGAACTGTTGACTTTTAACAAACTATCCTCTTAGAATGATATTTCATCTTTTCCTTTTTACTTCTCACATGTGAAAGTGTCAATAAACTTCCCTCTCCCCTATTTTACTTGAGTATTAGGTAGTTTCATTTGTACTTTTAAGACATTTAGTAACAGTTTTAGTTGTAGGCAAATTCGTTTTGCAATTGGTGATAAAAAAAATAAATTGTAGTAATTGTTGAAAGTTTGCACTTTGTGCTTTACTTACCTTTCAGTATGGTTGTTTTCACTGACTACTACATGTGGTAGATGTTGCCAATAACAAGTAGCTGTTGGTTGAGGTGAACTCAGTCGACATGCCAGTGTTACTTTCTCACCAGGTGCAGCCCATAATGCTACCATGACTGACTCTGTAAGTTGTACATTCTTAATTCTATATCTGTTGTCACAACTGCATTGTGAATTAACTTGTAAGTTAAGGTTTGAATGACTTGCACTCTATTTGTGCCTATGGTGATATTTCATTGACAGTTTCTCTACAACTGTAGAAGTGAAGAGTAAGAGAAGTATAAGTGTAGCACTCCGCACCAGAGACAAACCCAAAATATAGAACAGTCCAATAGACATGCATCTAAAAATCATGACCCATACTTAGTGAGAAGGCCATTACTAAATTTACCACAAGATATACACAAGTTGTTCAGAAAGGTTTGTATGAAGTTGTAAATTTCCATTCAGTTTTTACTTAATAGTAAAAATAAATATTTAATTTACTTGAATTCCAAACATTTGTAGTATTATCATTCCACAGTGTTTCCTATCCATTTTGGCAAATAATATTAAGATTTAAATTATTTTATGAATTTGTTGATCATCTGGCTTTTCCAGTAAATTTATATTTCTTATTGCTATGTTTTTATATTATTTCCATGTCATTCTCTTCTAATATTCAGCAAACATGAAAATAACTTACAGGTTTTTAATTTATATTCAAGTCATTCTGACTTTATAGTAAAGTAAAAATATCTTTGTTTGTATGATTAGTACAGTGAAAAATTAAGAAATATTTGTTACAAAGATGAATCCCTATGACTATTATCTAATAATAATAATAATAATATTAATAGATAATTTACAATAAGTCAAACAACATAGACAGAAATTGTACCTCCTCTTCACATCTGCTCCCTTTTTTCTTCAAAAATGAGAGAAACACATAGAAACTAAATATCTTTGTTAATGTGTAATCATGTTTCAACTTAAATTTTCAAATTTGTAACTTCAAATTAACTTCTAACAGTACTACTTTACTTTTTAAACTAACTATAAGTTAGCCAACATGTTTCCACAATTTGAAACCTTTGTTAACTTTTAATATCATAAATTATGTACTGGAATTCTCTCCTGATGATTGGGTTACTAAATCTCAAATATTTATAATGCAGGTGAGAAGATCTATTTCCCTTGTAATTCAAATAATCTAATTTTAAGTAAATTTTCAAAATCTAATACATACATAAAACAATTACTTCACTACTGTGACTTTCTGACAGGTACTTTCTAACTTAATGTTCGTTTTGGAATGGTATGAGAAACAGTTGGTATTAGAATATCAAAAAGTAATTATTTATTTGATTTGGTTCACTAACTTTATTTCAATGTCTTGAAATATTAAAAAAAGTTTAAATTTTATAAAGTTATTTAATATTTTTCTTAGAGATCAAATACTTTATTTGTGGATTAAATTGTCAAAAGATGTTGACAATTATTCAAGAAATGTTCTTTAAGAAAGGTCTCTAAAAATCTACTCTCAACAGTCTTATGAAAAATAAACTTATCTGTTTCAGTAAAAGTTCAAATTATTATCACCAAAAAAGATTCATACATATTATTAAGCATGTAATTATTTGAAACATGTATTAACATTTCCAATCAGTAGTGAAATATTTTTTTGTCAAAACATTGCACATTTTACATTTCTGAATAGTGTTTATAATCAGATTTACATACATGTAGAACATTACTTCATTTTTTCTTGTATTGTAGTCACTGGAATAATTTTCATAAAATACTCCTCGCAAATAATCATTTGCATCTTCAAAAGAGGTGACTTCTAAAGTGGTTTTTGATGAAACAGCATCTGAAATTTCCTCCTATACTAAAATTAGCATTCTACAAGATGATACAAAAGTCAGGGACCTATTTGAAAGGTGCATGACTTCTTGGTTTTGATTGCTATGTCTTTGTTTTTTTGCAGTATACTCTACAGGATATTTGGAAGTTTCATTGGCAACACGTATACAATATAGCATCGTTTCACAATTCTGTATCTATACTTGTAAATGGAGGTTCCATTATTCAAACTCAAAGGGCATATTGCCATAGTTTTTGATAGACAGAATTGCATTATATGGGCAACTGACAATCCTAGACATGCATCATAGACAATTGCATCCCCTAAAATTCATTGTGGTGTGGTATATCTTCAGAAAACATTGAAGGCTCGTATTTCATTTTGAAAATGAAGTCAGCACGAATGAAACTTAATGGCATCCAATGTTGGACCATGTCAGATTATTTAGTAAGGCCTGCTGTGGAACTGTATACTGATATGTGGTTGAAACAAGATGGAGTAAAGGCTTGAACAATTCGTAACATTATGGCACTATTAAATTACATTTCTGGTAACAGGCTCATCTCCAAGAATTCACATGGCTAGCTCACTTGACAGCTCCTGATTATTTTCTGTATGGTCACTTGAAGTCAGAAGTTTATGTCAGCAAGACCAGCACCGTTCTTCAGCTGAAGAATAACATTACAGATGAAATTCAGGCCTCAAAACTTGGTATTCTTCAAGCAGTTATGGAGAAAGCACTGAAACAAGCCTTATTCTGGGAAGAAGCAAAAGGCTATCACTTCACAGACATAATATCCCATATCTGACGAACTCGAAGTTCCCAAGTCAGTTTTTTCAATTTAAAAAAAATCTGTGATCAATAATTTGTTACTATTATTATTATTATTATTATTTTAAATAGATCCCTCACTTTTGCACCATTCTGTTGAATGTTCATGAATTTATTATGTTAATTAAATTGATCTCAACCAAATCTCTGGAAAGACAGGACAACACATGTAATAACTGAAGGAATCAGTTCTGATTTATTTTGATTTTTTATGTTCATTCACTTTTCATTTTCTTGAAAGTCATTAAATCATGAATTTAAAATATGAACTATGTAATCACACTAGTGAAACCCAATTTTAGAAAAGGAATAGTACACACAATAATAGCCTGATAATTATTACAGATTTATTCATAACTTCAGAAACATAATGAACATTATGACTACATTAGATTATATATTTCTCTTTAATTTTTTTATTTTTGTCTAATTAATCCAACTTCAATAATCAGCTATAAAAACAAATATTCTACAAGAAATTGACTAGTTATCTAATTATGACTGTAGAAACTACAGGGCTAGCATTAAATTAACACAAGTTAATTTAAACGTGTATACCACAGGATATCATTTATTATTGTTTTTCACTCTCTTCAATTCTTGATGTGCTTAGTTACCCTACATTTTGTATTAGTTTAGTATTCAATAAATATTTTGTTAAAATTTCTTCTAATACTTTTTAATTGATAGTAATACAACACACATACAAGTAATAAGGTTTTACACAACAGAGACACAAGTAAAATTCCATGTGAATCATGAAGTACTTTGTTGTAATAATCAGCAAGCTAATGTATTATATCTCTTTTAGTATTCTACATAAAATATTTCTCTTCTGAATGTTGCACTATTTTAAACATATGCACTTGATAACCTACACATTACATGTTCTTCATACAACAATTCACCAAATATTTCATCAATGCATTGGATATAATCCAGCAATTTTAAGTTAATTATTTTGCCTTCAGATTCATGTTATACATTTATAGCACCATGGCATTTCGATGTAATATAATCTTGTGTTCAACATTAACACACTAGCATTTGTGTTTGTAAAATATCAGGTATGAAGATCATTGATTTTTGAAGTAGTTATTAACAGGAGTGCCTAGACAAAAACAGGGACCTGGGACAGTTGATCAACAAGGGCCCCTTATTTCAAATAAAAATTTCCTTCCTCCCCCAATTTATAAACAGATTTAATTTCTCCATGCATCAGAAATTACTTGTAGCATTTACTTTGGTTTAGAAATAAATATATTTTTTATTTATTTATATTGAATAAAAAAATTTGTAGGGCCCCAATTAAGTTGGGGCCTGAGGCAAGCCTGAGGCTGCCTCCCTTTCTTGACACCTCTGGTAGTCAATGTCATCATAGTTGTTTTCGCAAAATACATATTTAGGGCATAAAATTAAGCAAGGAACATTTAATATTTGATTGATGAAGTAAAGAAAGCATAAACATGTATAATAGTTAATTTATAAAAATAAAAATTTAATTATGTATTTAATGAATAATAATCAAAAATGAAATGTTTTTCAAAAATCCATTCTTGTAAAACTAGATTACCAACCAATGAAACTTCTACATCTACATTTTCCAACAACATTGCAGAGGTAAATAATTAACATTGAAAAATTATATTAAAATGAATGTTAATTAATCTTTGGACACAATACATTTTATAAAATGAAAATATGTCACAGCTACAAATGTACTTGGATGATTTTTCAAAATTGCTATAACCCATTTTACTCTACATTGATAGAATTATTCATTTTTCAAGAAGGATAAATTCATGTATCTTTTTAAATAATTTAAGTAACATTATTCATATCCACTAATCATACCTGTATAATAACTCACACTAAATGCAGCATGGAATGGCACAAAATATTCATGGCTCTATTAAAATGAGAAAAGTCTTAAAAGAAATATATGAGTAAGAATTCAAATAAATAATGTAAATGATTTAAGTGCTTTTATGGTGTGGTATGACCTCCACAAAATGAAATTACAAGTGATTTAAGAAAAAAAATATAAAACAATAATTGATGAATATATACTTTTGCAGAAAGATAATATAGTTAATATGATCGATAAAAAGAATTTGTATTACAGAATATTCATAGTATATTTCATGTAATATCATTCATAATATGAGAGAGAATATACTGTAGTTAAAAGATAATTTGTATCCAGTAAACATGTCTTAGAAATAGCAAATGAACTGATAAATATAAGAGATATACTACTTAAATTTTAATTAAAGCTTCAAAACAAACTTACTGGGATCGACTGAACAACAATATTAAATAATTCTTGTTGTATGAAAAAGAAAGAAATATGAAAAAATTTGAGGAAAATTGTTAGAGTTGCAAGACATGTAGGGGATAGGAACATTTTTATAACATGGCAATCTACTATTACTAACTTTTAATTTAAATGTATATTTTAGTCTAAAAATGTTGAACACAAGATATACAACTTGTTTCAGAAAGACAGTGTTGTGTAAATACTATTGTCAGAAAATGACCTAATTAATAAATTATTATTACACTGTTATTATTTTAAAATAATTACAAATATCACAGTCTGTTTTGTTTGTAATTTCACTTCACATATTAAAACAAAATTCAGTGCAGCAAATTATTATTCAGTGCTTACTGCACCACACCAGTCTAAGTGTCCATTATTTTGAAGTCTCTCAATGATAAGAGCAATACATGCAGACCATCATGATTGAGACAGAGAACATAGTACACCACAACCAACCAAAGCAGAGGCTGTAACAATCAACACCAATATGTAGAAAAATTCTACACACACATATCAAAAATGCCAGATATTGCAAATAGTGCCTCTACACAGAAGTGAACATGCTGCAGGCATCAGACTACTTTTGAAAGAGACAATTACTTCCACCAGAAATACCTGGCTTTAGAAGAGTAACTCTTGCAGGTGGTGCTACAGTCATAAAAGATTCTCCTTCCTTCCTGGCACCACATGTCCAGATGCCTTCATGTTCTTCTGCTGCTTCATCAATATGCATACTACAGTCACGACTTCCATTGCCATGTGCAGAAAATGTTTTGACCATTTTAGAAGAGTTATTGGTATTGTTAAGAGCAGTGCGAGTCCACTGACATTCTTGGAGTGCCGAAGATGATACACATCGTAGGTATAAATGACTTCCATTTGGCACGTGTATGTCCTGAGACAGCTCTGTGAATTCAATAGGCTCTGAAAAAATAGTTTTTTGAAGATTATTATTTATAATAAGAAAATTCAGGGAGGAGATCTTGGGAATCATTACTTGCTAAAAACTCATTAAAAAAATCAAAATTATTTTGCAATAAGAAAAGCTAAAAATCTCTTGTAAGCGTGAATTTAGGTGAGCACACACATATTCCCAAGATTAATTTGTGGGGACATGTGACTCTTATTACATGCACTACTCACATTATTGCATCAACAAAGTTGTCTACCTAACGAAACCAGAATTTGACAGTTTCAAAAAACCTCTGCTCCATTCCAAATGCTCAAGTAAGGACATTAATATAATTAAGTTGAATCACAAAACTTGCATCATACCTACTTTGTCAATTTCTTTAACCTAAATAAAAATTCATTGCACATTTTCTTTAACCTGAAAATTTTATTACATTAAATTTTCATGAAATGTAGGGGAAGGAGCACCTTTGTCCACTTTTCATACTTTAATTTTTTTCTCCTTAGATTAATATTTATTAACTTATTTAAGGTTTTAAAATAACTACCTAAATTTTGTCTATAAAATATTATTTATGCATGTTCTGAGAAAAAAATCTAATTTTAAACATGGTTGAAATTATTTTTTGAAAGAAAAAAATATTGGTCAAAGAAACAACACTATGTTGTACTTTGACCACGTCACACAAATTATTATAATCAGTTAACTGGAACTTATTTTCTTAATTAAACTAATTTTAACAATGTAATATGCATATATGATGCACACAAGCAATAAAGATAATAGAAACTGTGAAAATAGGACTCAATAGATCAAAGCACATGAAAATACAAACCATGCAAATCTAAAGCTAACTTTAAAATAATTCAATTCTCTAAATAATAGTTTAAACTAATAATAATGTCATCATATAAAAAAACAAATATGTAGATATTGAGTAATACATGATAAAAAAAAAATGAGCTATTCAACACTCTAGGGAGATAGATCGACTCAAAATAACAAATGGTGTTGTAGACAAACTGATCCACCTGCCTACAATGGATTTGGAAGCTTGAATGCAATATCGTCTTATTTATATCTTACAAATTTTCATTTACCCTTACAAACCTCTCACTCAGTATTTAATTTTTGAATATTTTCACACCATCTGATTCAATATTTTGAGAGGCGTCTGTATCAGTCACTCTGAGCAAAATAATGTTATAAGAACGTACTACTTGCAATTTCGAACGGTTTCCGAAATAGAGCTGCTCGAGTACAGTGTTTTTGTATATGTTGTTCTGAAGGGTTTTGAAAACAGAACTCCCTGTCTGTAATATTCGTATATATTTCTGAAGATACATAAATGGTATAGTTGACAAGCATTATAGTTGGAAACTTCCCCCGACAACTCTTGTGAGGAGACGTGTTGCTTGTGTGAGTGCATCTTGACGTTCCTTTATGCGGACGATAGCATCCTTATGCTTTACAGCAATACGCAGAGGTGGGATTCAAGGGGGAGGGGCAACAATCCCGCCCCAAAGTTGGGACAAAGTAAAAAAAATATATTTAGACATTTCATTTCGGGAATCTTTAAATTAAAGATGTACTTTTTTCTGTATTTTGAGAAAAAGAATTAATTCCTATACTGTATTTCAGAAACAGTGTTCCTGAGTGCGTATCTACGGATCCGTCGCTCACGTTTATACCACTTTCCGTGCAGCAACCGAAACGTCTCCATCTCCTGGCGGGGAACTGATATTTTGTTTTCAGATCCATCCAGAAGATTTTAATAAATCTTCAAAGACGTGCTTTTGAGTGTTTTAGCGCTGCTATCTTAGTGAGTACGTCGGGAATTAAACAAACGCCATACAAATAGATCAATGTAGGTTACGTTCAATGCGACGAGAGATTCACCGCGCTGCAAATTTCATTTAATTTGCACCCGTATTAAAATATTTTTGAAAATACATTTGCAAACACCTACGAATAGTATTGCATTGAAACTTATTTAACTTGAAAAACTTCAGGTAAATAGGGAGAAAACCAAACTGTGAGTCATGCTACAGAAGCACATTGACGTTCTTACATTCGACTTCTCACACTTACATTCTTAATACCCATTTTCAAATGAATGTGAGTATGAACTTATTCAAATAAACGCCTTATTCACATAAACAAACAAAACATTCGCCTTTTAATGTTAATATAGATTCGCATACAAAAGAATAAATAGAGCAATGGTCAACATTCGATCAGCGAGCAATGATCATTCGAGCAATGGTCAACAACACTATATAAAGCATTACAAGAAAAATAGTAAGTTTCTTTTGTAAAAGCCGTATATTATTCTAGTAATTAAATATAAGTAATTTTAATACTGATTTATTCTAATATTAATAATTGCTTATGAACTTACCATGTTAAAATCAGAGACCTGCCAATTCTGCCATTAATCTCTGTTATCAAATATATGAGATGGCAAAATGCCGAACGAAGCGTGAAAACGTGCAATATTAGTACAGTAGATGTTTCGCGGAATGTCAACAAAGTGAGTTCAAAGATCAGTGTTCTTTTGAAATAGGAAACGATATTTAAATGCCTCTCTCTACTCATCGGTTTTGTCACGTAACTAAATTACAATGTAAAACTAATACCAGCATATTCATAACAGTATTCGTATGAAACACCATTCGTGGTGGAATCTCCCACAACAGTGAAATTTGGGGAGAGAGAGGGAGTGACATGAAAAGTTTCTGTACCAAGACAACTTGGCATTGCTATGTTATTTATGTTATTTCTTACCTGAGATGAATGTTGTCAGTTTGGCCAAAGGCGATTCTGCTTCTAGAGGTGCGTCGAGGGAGCCACTACGAATGGTACAACCCCAGAATCCATCTTGCGCATCTTGCACTTTTTTGAAATGAATACTACAGTCTCTACTATGGTTCCCAAAGGCTGAGAACTGTTTAACAACAATGCCTTTGCCATCTTTGTCGTCCTCAGAACGCCAGGTCCACAAGCAATCTTTGACACTTGACGTTGCAACACAAGGCAAGACGGTAGAATGACCTAAAGCGACTCTCTTATCTTCAGGTATTTCCAGAAAACGTAATTTCACTGCAACAATACATTCCGAACATAAACGAACATGACTTCAAAATTACAAATAAAATCATTTTGTTTGATCAACGGAATGTTCGTCCACTGCGTTTTCGACCAATCGTATTTTGATTTTTATAGTATACTTTTGTCCAGATGTAATTTTGTCCTTCTTAGTTTTTGGTCCACACATTTTTCGACCAATCCTTTTTAGTACCATGTAAAATTTTGCCCTGTATATATTTTATCCTTGCCTGATACGGTTAAGATTTTATAAATGATCTATTTATTTTAAAGAAAAGTGATCCTACTTTTTACTGCTTCATAGAGTTACATGCAATTATTTGTAATTAATTACACATACAAATATTTGTGTGAAATTGCAATGTAATCATAACTTGTTGGTTATCATTATTGCCGTTAATTGGTCTAGGTGATTACGTTTTACTTTGCAAATTCCTATTTAATCTGTTTAAAAAGTAATCAGGATTACATGTAATTGTCACTCATGATTACATTCACTAACTGTTGTTGTTTCCACAGTACATTTCGTGAGCAAAATTGACAAATGAATTCTTCGATGTTACGAAAGAATGTGATATATTTTGCAAAAATATGCTGCTCGCGTTTAAACAGAATCAGCTCTTATATCAGATACCATGTGAACATACGCAAGCTTGACCTTACACTGCCAGAGAATCCGGACCTACTGCTGCAAAAACTCCTACAGAAGATTTTAAGAAAGTGCTCGAACATTTTAATAGTTACGTTATTTATGTAACAAGTCCTCTAAATTAGTCTTTAAGGGGTCGGCCGACCATTACCTATTCGTCTCCGCTATCGCTCCGCCTAGCTGTTAAACTTCCGGTCGAGTCCTTAAAGACTAATAGAGGACGTACAATGTACATACAATGTTTTTTGTTATTTCAAGTTATTGTAGTTATGCAAAATAAACATTTAACACTTTGTGAGTCAAGAATGATCATTAATCTCGATGTTTTGTTGTAAGGGTTGTTGGTACAGTGTCTTGGTACTGTTTTTAAATAATAATAATAATAATAATAATAATAATAATAATAATAATAATAATAATAATAATAATAGCATTGCATGGAAGGACCAATAGAACAAAGAGGGGCAAGTGTGGCAAAGCGGGGAAAGTACGAAGAGGGCAAGGGGATAAATGGGAGAATGGGGACAAAATGAAAAAAAATTAGAAAAGGAAAAGAAAGGGACAAAATGGGGATAGGGGGACACAATGGGACAAGGGGACAAAACGGGACAAGGGACAAAATGAGACAATGGGCCAAAAACCATAAAACGTGTCTTGTAAGGAACATAGGAACATTGTACTGTCTTATAAATAAACATATTTAACAGATAGTTTTAGAATCTTATTAAATCCAAAAATATATTGTTGCAAAAACAATCTAACTTCTCAGATGAAAAATGGATTTTACTATACAAACAGCGTAGCAGGATAATGTAATATGTTTAACGATAAATATATCGAGTGATAATTAATCCTCAGTATAGGTTTTGTCTCGTCTATGAAGTATTTATATTGTTTTTATTATTTTCCCAAACATTTTGTTTCATAACAAATGGCGTGTTGAAGTTCTCTACACTTCGGGCCTAGGTTGACTAAAATACCCATTGTGACTTCAAACACTAGAAAAAATATATTTCATTTAAAATGATAAGTTATAACCATATCCAAGTAGGTAAGAAACACGCTACACTTTCTGTTGTTGAAAATATAAATTAAAAACACGTACAAGCACTATCACATTCAAACATATAAAATATCATTGTCGTTTTTTTCTACGTCAATAACTCAAAATGTAATCAAAGAAGACTACGATTACAGATTACTATAATTGTAGTCTCCAATGTTTACAAATTACTTGTAACCGCCATTGTAATTCTCATCATTACAATTTTAATAGACGTATTTGTAGTTTTCAGAAGATAGTTGATAACATTTTGTAAAACGATATAGATTACATTTTGTTCAGCATTGTTGCTTAATCACTTTGCATTTAGCATATAAGCGAAATATTTCACAAATATTGAAAAAAGTTCAGTTGTGAAAAGGGTATTGTGAGTTGCCAGTTCTAATTAACAAAAGCTTGTCTTTACATTAAATTGAGTAATTTTTAAATCTATATTATTATTATATGGGCCATTACTGACCACGCAACACATTTCTCTCCCCGAGGCCCAGTTGTATTCTCTCCGGGAGAGATCAACGTGTGGAATTATGGAGATTAGCCTTCCGGCTACATCCCTCGGTTAACATATAGTTGTTATCAAATAGGGGAGGATATGGTTATTATTACTACTATCATTTCTACTACTTCTATTATTATTATTATTATTATTATTATTATTATTATTATTATTATTATTATTATTATTATATTATTACTATTATTAGTCCATTCTATATAATTTTTATTACTTTTAATAAATAAAATTATTCTTTACAAATTGTTTATGGAAGGTTTTTGAGAGGTTTGTCGAAAATAGAAATGTCTTTTGACACTTGTATTGTGAATAGAGGTTGATTGAATTATGAGGCAAGAATCCGTTAGAGGTTCAAGTACAGTTCAAACCACGGGCGACATAAATCCTAATCTAGTGCTCTCGTGTTGAATGGCTTCATTCTTCCGAGTGCAGTTGCACTACATCGCTGCCCTCCATACGAAAGTGGTGTAAGGAGTTACTGATGCCAGAACAGCTGGTAGAATGGGTGTGTGTATGTGTGTGTGTGTGTGTGTATGAACTCGTGAATGAGTGTACGTGAGAAACTGATCAATGAGAGACGAGATGACGATCTCGAAGGTGGCGAATACATATCCTGGAACCGTCATTAAGTAAAGATAGTAAATGAAGGATCCGCTTCAGCAGGATGTCATTAGATAATCTCGTAGGCTTCCGCGGCCAGAGTCATGATCTGGGCTGTCTGGGTGACGCCACGAAACGTCAGCACCTCAGCCTTCGACGCGGCGTCACCCGGACAGCCCAGATCAGGATGTCGTTGTCACACGGAGATTCCAGAACCGTTCACAAATGATGTACGTAATTCATGGGAGAGGGAATGCAATTTACCTGCCCCAGAATTTATTTATTTAGTATTCACGTATTTATTTAGTCCTTACGTATTTATTTAGTATTTATCTATTTTATATTTATTAATTTAATATTTCTTTATTTCTTTAGTATTTATTTATGTACTGATGTATTGGTTAGGCTTGGCGGGCCGCCGTATAACTGCACTGACCGGGCGGGAGCAGTTGCACCGAGGTGGGCGGGGCCTCCACGAAGTGCGAGCCGGGCGCGACGCGCACGGCGCAGCTCCACAGGCCCTGCTGCTCCTTGAGCACGGTGCCGAAGCGCACGCTGCAGTCGCGGCGCTGGTCGTAGGCCGGCGTGAAGTTCTTGACGGCGACGGGCGCCGTGTCCGCCTCGTGCAGCGGGCGCCACAGCCACTGGCACGACGCCACCGCCATGCTCACCACGCAGCGCAGCGCCACCGGCTCCCCCTCGTTCACCTTGATCTCCCCCGACAGCTCCACGAACGTGATCCCTGCAACACAGGCGCCCGCCTCGTCGCACCGCCTACGCACACCTGCTTGCTCTTTGAGAGGGGAACGTACGATGTTAGGGGGAAAGAGTACAAAAATAATTGTTGAATAATGTCGGTACGTTGATGTCCGCTGTGTGGTGATTTTATCGGTCACCGACCCCCGCAGATCTCTCCGCGCCACCCTCGCTGCTCACCAGTGCTCCCGCAGCCCAGCCCTTATGCTTTCCCATCGCGTTCCTTACAGAATGGCTCTAAATTTCGGAACATGGCAATAATGCGCTTTGGAATGTTTTTTACAGATTTGTCTTTTCTGTGGTTTCTCTACGCCTACAAAATCCGGCAAATACAGTCACAGAAAAATGTCACACTGTGTGAGAATGAGTTTTGATTCCGGCTACGTCTACTAAAATAGCGCGTATATGTATCTGTTATTCTGGGAGGTAGCAGCGTTCCTCCAATGCTGGAACGTGAGATCAGGGGCCGACCTACCGTTAGGTTGTAAAGTTTTCCTCGCTCCGAGTGTCTCTCCCAAAGGGCCACCGCCCCAGCCAAGGCAAGCTCTAAGCTCCCGACATGGTAATGTCGTGCATGTAATTAAGCGTGTACGGTAAGGAAGGGACAAGAAAGAAAGAAGGATGGAAGGAAAAATTTCGTGCAGTCCACCACCCATTCTCCGAGATTCGTCTGATGTTGATTCGAGAAACCACAGAAAACTACCAAATCTGAGCAGCCGTTCGCTAGAATTCGCCTTCAGCCTGTGGTTGGATTCGTCTCAGCTATGTAGCTAGTGTCCAAAATAGACCTTCATCCTACAATCCTACGACTTCCGTCACAGCGAGAGATCAGAAAATTTGGGAGGTCACGCTCAGCGATTGGTTTCATTGCAGTTCACCACAGATTCCACGTTATTTGCTGGCAAGATTTGTTGGAGCAGAATGTGTTACGGACGTGCCTGAAGGGCACGCGCGAAGCAGTTGCAGCACCTTCTGCAGGAGCAGTGAGGAGCGACGGGGGAGCATCCAGCTTTGGGGCCGGGCGCGCGAGCCCCTTTGGAATGGCCACCTGCAGAGAGCCGTCGCGAGATTTGGAGGTGAGTGGCTTGCCCGCTTGTCCAGCGTACGTGAGAGAGGCGGTTTGCGCCCTTTTGTCTTTTCCCTTAGCGGGAAGATGATCAAAGCGGTGATTTGGCTTTAGCTTTCATTGGCTGAATAATGTTCGCGGTGATCATGCGAGGAGAGAAATTATTAATTCTAATTGCGATGGCGGCTCAGATTTGGGCAGAGAACCACGCCACACATGGTGATAATACCCTCCCCACATGCGCTTCCATGTGTGCGTATGTAAGGGATATGAGTTTGTAAGAAGAATACGCGTGTGTAGGAGGTATGTGCATGCGTGATTTGATGAGTGTTTTCGCTTTACAAATGACATTTCCTTTCTCCGTTTTCCATTACTGCATGTAGGCGTGGATCACGGAAATGTATAAGAGGGGGTAAGGATGTCAATGCAAGGGACTTTTATTGAAATCTTAAATAGTTGTTATTGCGATTGACTGGTGTTATGTTAATAATTAGATTTTTTCTTGAATAAAAAATATTAATTAATTCGTATTTTTTAATTACAAATTATTGAAAGGAAATTTCCAACTATCTGTTGCAAAAGTAGCTTTCATCTAAATTAACATTAAATCATACTAACTGCTTAGTTTAAACATTTTCTTTTCAAAACTAAATAAACAGATAACTTTTCAAATACCTTACAAATAGCCATTTTAATAACAATATTACAGCATTTGAGGCAGTGGGGGATCCAGGCGGATCCACAAAAACTAGAGTTTTTGTTTGTTACCTTCCTTTATTTGGCAAAATTGATTTAAATATTTATTCATGTTAGAGTTGTGTAATTATTTAAAAAAATAATATTGAATAGTACGATATACACAATACAAAAATATACAATACAATAACAAATATGTTTCTTAACAAAAATTTCCGATGTCGCGCCCCCTGATTTGAGGCCTATCGGAGGAGCCGCCGTGCCCGGCCGTGCGCTTACCTTCGAGCACCTTGAGGTGGACGGGCGCGGCGGCCACGAAGGGCGCGTCGCGGTGCGCGCGGGCCGAGCACTGCCAGCGGCCCTCCAGCTCGGGCCGCGCGGCCTGTCGCAGCGAGCAGTCGGTGCCCGGCGGCGGCGGCGCGAAGCTCAGCGCCGACGGCTCGGGCTCGGCGTCGGCCAGCGCGCCGCCCGCGGCCCGCCACTCCCAGTGGCACTGCTCCACGGGCCGCGCCGTGCGGCACGGCAGCTCCGTCGGTTCGTGCGCGCGCACCTCCACCGCCGTCACGTTCGTCTCGAAGCGAACTGCGCCGCTCCACACACAAACACACGTTAGACGCTCCTGGTACTGAGGCGAAGACGTTCGCAGCCATTCTTTAGGAAAATCATTGTTTTAAATTTCCCTATAATTGAAATTTGCGCAATAACGCGAAAACTACTCGTATTTTTGAAAAGTTGTACGTGATCGTAATTAAAGATATGTCTTTGAGGAACAGATTGCATTAATGAAAAAATATAATTCTTCAATTTTGTAGTTGTAGGAAGACGCCGAAAAAATTAAACTCTCACAGTTTTCCAAAATTTAAATATTTCAACTAAAATGTGACCTGGGCCATTTTTTAAGCGTCCTAAACGTTATCCGAGAACAAAGTTTAATCAAACAATTCGGAGCGATTTTTGAGAAAATGACGATTTACTAAAGCACTCCCAAAAATTCAATTATGTTTCAAACTCGAGTTCGTTCATATCAATTACGGAGTATCAATTTTGGAGAGAATCGTCTGAACGTTAGGCGCTAGCAAAGACCACAGACAAACGATTGCCATTAATTAATGGTTTGGAATCAAGGATCCACAAAACGTGAATTCTGACTCCATAAAGTGTTAGAGGAAGAGAATTACTACATATCGGAACTGTTTTGATACAGGATTCTCACAGTGGTAGGTTTTATGTAACAAAACAGATACTTTTGGCTACTTGCTTCTTCTTTACCATGTAAATACGTGGCAACGCAAGAAAGTAGAATTAAGTTATGTCCTGTAATGTAGGTTTTATAATGGCACGTTCCCACTATCATAAGAGTTCTGTGAGTTCACGAAACCCTACAATTCCCGTATCACAGGAAAAGTGTCAATGTGCACTCAAGACTCTAATCTGCAGACATCCCATTTTTTAATTTTTTTTTTTGCGTCGCACGCAACGCGTCTCCTAGCTCCTAAGTTAAGCGCACCGTTAATTACTACTGTAGAACTAAATCTCTCCTTTATTATGCACCCAGCATCCTCTAGGGGCCGCTGGGTAGTCAATTCGTTTCAGTCGCTGTCAAGGGAATCGCCGATAGGTAGCGTCTTCGCGCTCCCGCCCTGCGTCATCTGCCTATCGGCCAGAATTGGGAAGGAATAAGGATAAGACGGGCGCTTCACAGGTGCTGGAATAGCCATGTGAAGTATGCTAACTCGTTTTGTCGTAACACATTTCACATGAGGTTCTTCGGGGATTCTAGGGGAATGAAACCCAGAACCTCAGTGGTGAAAGGCAAGCTGCTTCGCCACTGAGCCACGAAAGCATCTATTTGATCTTCAGAACAAAAAACGAACAATGGGAACAGGGTACGAGATTGATCTGTTGATCGAGATTCATTTGATTTATATTTGAAATAAACAGTAAAAACTATGTGACGTATGGGGGATAAGTATAAACCTGTGCACATTTTCTTGAGCTCCAGAATCCCTTCCCTGCCCCTTTCCTGTTCGTAATTGAACGATGAATAACAGTACCAACGAGACGAGTTTAGCAATGTTTGAACCGGGTAAAAAAATATTTGCGTCAGTAAACGAACTACAGGTTTTGTTGTATTGTTATCAAAAGAGGAACTCACAAACCCCGGCTCTATTCCTATCGCAAGTAACAAGATGACAGCTCAACATAATGCGGGCAGAATGAAGCTACATTCATGTTCTGAAGTAAAACAAGGGGCCATCTCAGTATTGCTCAACGGATTAGCAAAACAGGACGATAAACCTTATTGACCCAGAAGGTGAAGCATATGACTTATTGCAGACATATTCAAGGTTTTAAAATCATGCAATACAAATATTTGAATTTTCTAACAAATGCTGAATTTTTACGATTTTATATTTTCAATGAAATTTTGAAGACATGGATTTCACTCACGTCAGCATATTTGAGTTTCTTCTTGAACTTCTGTTCGTTCCCACTCATTACGCACGAACAAAAAGAAAGAAAATCCTGTACGGATGAAGAACAATTAAATATTTGTCTTCTTTTATTGTTATTTGTATATCTGATGAATGGATTATTGGGTATGACTAATTATCCAGATTGACTAATTATGATTAGTGAATTCGTTGGTTGGATGATTCGATGAGTGAATGTTTCTTAATGAATTAATCCGCATTCTTAGGAATCAAAAGGTTCCGCACAATATCAAGAAAACACAAAACCCAATTACCTAGACTGAAAAGAAGGGTCGAATTCGTCAAATAGCATTTCACCCGTTGAGAAAAGACAGCACGTAGGACCAATTAATCAACATACACAATCGTGTTTTTACGACTAAATGATACACAGGCTACGGCTTCTCTCTCATGCGTCCCATTGAATGATTACATTGTTAGAGTGGCGGTCGAAAATGCAGATATTGAATTTGCCAGCCCAATCTCTTCTCCTTCACGTGTCAGGTAATTCCATTAAAGCTCTGTTTCTCTGGAGGTCAGCATTACTTCGTCTTTAGGTATCCGGAGTGTTTGTGATTCTCAAGATTACTACGCCATAAATCTGAACCCAAGAACGCCGACATTAAGCAGCACTCGGGAGGCAGAAGGATAAAACGAACATAATGAACATCTGCACTCAGGGTGGGCAGGCCTTTTCCATGCGTACTCTTCTGCAGCGGACAGACCTTTGTTCTGCATGCGAACCAGGACAAAATTAATTCAACGCGATCAGCAGATAAAAACGATAATCGTCTTTGGGAGAAGCACAAAAGATGCGGGTCAACCCAGTGTCAAAGTCAAGAGCGCCATTCATTAGCAGAACCCCCTTTCACCTTCGTTTGTTTGGGATGGCGAAGTGTGCCGCACTCGGCGTAACGTATAGCTGAGAGCAGTCGGGGGCCTGAGGGGCCCGATAAAGATTACGCCTGGAGATAATTGGTAGAGTTTCGCTGGGAGGCGCGAACGCGGGGCGGAGCGGGGCGTGGCGGAGAGGGTCGATGCGGAGCGGCGCGAGGCAGAACGGGGCGAAGAGGAGCGGGGCGGAGCGGAGCGAGGTGGAGCGGGGCGAGGCGGAG